TATTAACTTATTAAAACAGTTAGCAATTTAAAAATTTTCATAAAAAATTCTCATAATTATTATTTTGTTCTTGTATTTCGAATCAATTTAAGTTTTTGACCGTGTTTGATCGTTATTATGAGGTACCGAGCAGCACTTTCAGCTTTAGATTTTTTTCATTACTGCTTTATGTGACCGTTTAACAACTGTTGATTTCTTTCCAAATTAAAGGGTACTATACTTACAAAACGGCAAGAATAATGGTACTAATCTAAATTATGTAAATATCTCATGTGTGAGGCACCGACGTTACGCATATGTTCCCTTTTTAGTAGAATAAACCACCTTTTCTTTCCACAGATAATCATCGGTTCATTACTATTCCTTGTGTGTTGTTCTGCGTACTTGGCTGTTCACCGTCACATCACCGGGGACACCTCTTGCCCTGCCAATAACCTGTCCAACGTGGAGTTCATCACAGCGTTCAGAATCTACTTCACTGCCCACACATCAGCTTACTGCCTGCTTTTCTTCGGTATTTTGATGATGAATTCCAAGATAATACACCGAATATGGTTACAGGTGAGAATACGCAAGAGCCTTACCACAAGCCAGGCCGCTTTCCAGACCCCGAAAAAGGAGATAGTCAGCACCGTTTCTTTAGTAGCAGTATCGGTGTTGTTTTTTATCCTCTGTGCGCCGCAGTGTGTGTGTATGATGTTGCAGTCATTTCTGAATTATGATTTGTTGAACGAGTTCTATGATGTTATCAGCATTTTTGATGCAGTGTCCAGGATAAGTTTTCTGATCCACACTAGTATATGTTTGCCCATCATCCTGGTTTGTGGTTCTCAGTTCCGCCAGATGTTTAAAGAAAAAATCGGAGGATTTTTCTCCGGTTTGGTTTTGTCTAATTCCACCAAATCCACCACCGACACAACCAACTGATTTATCTCGTTGCCCCCTTCTCTCTTTTTTATTTTGTGTATGATAATTTAAGGATTTCGGTGCTTAAAATGGGCGGCAAACTTTAAAAGTTGGATCTATTTGGAGGTGTTTTAAATAATGTTGTTAAATTGTTGTGTCTTACCATTGTGAGCTACAATGTATATGTCTGAAGTACCGGTAGTTAGCTTATATGTATTTTAGTATTATAATGATCTAAAGTAGTTATACTTATTTCAGCTTATGTGCAAATTTATGTAAAACTGTAGTTTAGAGAGCTTGTAAAATGTAACTGTACACATTTTAATGCTCAATAAATTATAATAATAATAATAATAATAATAATAAATTATTATTATTATTATAAAATCCCTGTTTTGATGTAGGCCTACATGTTATAGGACCTACCAAAGATACTGTTATTAATGGACTTCTTAAATTTTGTGGTAATATGTTTATTTATTTCTTATATTTCTTATACGTGAGGTATTACTTTTTGTTTACAGGTACTCAAACGGTGCTGAACTCTGTGTCTGAATAATTTTTAAAAGTAAATCATCCACATCAACACACAGAAAATAGCACTTAATCAATTGACACATCAAGCGTGACAAGATAGCGAGAAACTATTAAAATTCATAGATGAAAAAATAATTGGATTAAAAAATCCCTTGGTTAGTTTTTATTTTTTCAAAAATGCTGTACTTTCATTGAACAAATTTCTAAATAATATACCAAAAAGGTACTGATACAGGCACATAGAAACTGCCATAATAGCTTTTGTGATATTCAGCACAAACATGTTTGTTCAAACACATCAGAAAAACCTGTTCAAAGTCAACCACCATCAAGAGAACTTCGTATGTTATTTCCTGGCCTTTCATGATTCTGTGAAGGCGGGTTAAATTCACATAAAAGCTAAACCAGGACATGAAGGATCGTGTCAAATTACGCAGGTGGTTAAGTATCCCAGTAAAAGCAGTAACTACTTATGATCATTGCTGATATGTAGAATTATATATTTACACCCTATCCCAACATTTTCCATTGGTGACGTAGAGGGTTCCCCGGTCGTAGATACGTGAGTAGGTGGTAAACATGACGTTTTTGCACTGTAAGAAACAAGGCTGTTCTAACTATAATCTTTTCTGTGTGCAAATGAGTTTTTTTTTTTTTTTTTTTTTTTTTATCTAGAATTGATTATTTTTTCTTAACAAATATATTTTAGTCATTTACTGTATGTGCTTTTATGTGAGAATCCGTATGTTTTATCTAGAATACTCTTAATTTTTTTTGTCGTTTAGCTCTGTAATTTTTCATTTATCTATTCCTAATTATTGATTTCTTAAATAATTGTTTTATGTATATGTAGTCTTCTGAACATGTTATAATGGATTTAAGACTCAAAATAAATTTATTATTATTATTATCATTATTATTATTATTATTATTAAAATTGCCTTGCAATAAACAGATGCCGTAAATGTTCGTCAAACCGATATCGCTGAACTCCTGTGTGTATTAGTAATTTGGTGATTGATATTTCATAAAAGCCATTTATAACCTTTTATATGTATTTATGATTAAATATGTTCCGTGAATTAATGAATATGATCAAAAAATAAAACTTAAGCTTCTGGTACCTTACATAATTATATCTATAATTATTAAAACAATGCTGAAAATACAACTACAAAATGACAAAGATAATTAAAATGATTTAACTGCAGTACCAAGTAAAAAACACTAAAAACTCTTAAAATATGTTTTTAAGTTATGGTTTTATAGTCACTTTTTCCGCATGCCTAATAATTTGTTATAGCTACTTTAATATTGCTCTAAGATTTGGGGAGGGGGGGGGGGCACACCTAAAATGCAGTTACCAACCGCTATAAACATGTCATTTTGGACGTTGCTTGAATGACAAAATACTTTAAAAAATACTCAATTCTATTATCATTACAACTACACTGTCAAGTAGAAAAAAACTTTTCAAGAAATGCGGGTCTATGTCAACGGAAACAGGTGTCTAAATGGATAATATGTAGCATTTAAAGCAATCATCTTTAACATATTTATACCCGCCCTGATCACGATGCGCCTCATTGTCAAACTGATGAAACGTCAACTACAGAACTGTGAGTACTGTAAAAATCTATTTTATTTTGAAATTCACAACGAAACTTCAATAGTTTTTTTTACAGATAGGCTACTAGAAATATGCAAGAGTAAAAACAGCATAATCAAAATTATTTAAATGATTGGGATACTCACTATTTCCCGTGACTGCCCGTTTTAAAACAGTCCGTGGACAATCTGTAAATTTGTAAAATATCTGTAAAATATCTGGGAATACGCCCCCGGTATTTTAGATATAAAGCGATCTGAAATTCATGCATATTTTAAATGATTGTTATAAGTTGACATGACAACAAACGTTCCAAGAGAGACAATCTGAATATGCCATCAAAATAGATTTCAAAGAAGTAACTGCATTACACACCAATTACTTACATAGTAAGCGTTATAGAATGTTCAAAAGATTGGTTATGAATAAATGTATTCATCCATCCAACATTTGCAAGAAATAGGAATCCAACTGCACTGATATTTATTGCCGTTAGTGTTAGAGGCACGTGGAAAAAAATACAAAAAAAAAAAAAAAAATAGTAAGAGCGCATTCCGAACAGCAGACTAACAGATCCTCGGATCAAATATGGATGACCCCTTGAATGCTTGTTGAGTAATCCCCGCGGAGAATCTCTTCAGTGTCTTATCGGGAATTAAGCGGCCAGCTTTTTAGTGGGTCGCCATATTTGATCCGCGGATCTGTTAGTCTGATGTTCTAAATGCGCTGTATATCAGATTTGACGGCAGAGACAAAAGGGCCAATCAACAGGGCTAAATAAATCGGGATGTGGGGAATTACATGCCAAGGACAGGCAAAATTTATTATACACCCAAGTGCTTATTGACGCCAGCAACTCGTGCAATTTATGTTGAATTGAGAGGATCTCTTTTCTCTGATATCTAATGCTAAGTAATATTATTTTAAGGCCTTTTTTCAATTGCTTAATTTCTTTTCTTTACATTGTTTTTTTTTTTTAATTTATTTATTGTCAATAAATTTTGCTAAAAAACTTATCTACTGCCTATATACAAATAACGATAAAACCTTTAAATTGTATTTAAATATCCAAGACAATAATTTTTCCGCTTATAGAACCCCACCGACTACTACGCCATTTGTCCATTTGACTTCGTTTGCGTCTTGTTATCATTATTTTACCTCGGACCATCCATCCAAATTACCTGACAGCGCAGCTTGCATAAAAATGGATACTATTCATGTCGAGGCAAAGATTATCGTACAAATAGCAACAATGCATCTTAATTCAGCCATTTCATTCCCTTAATAGCACTTGACCTGACCAAAAATGGGGACTTGTAATGCAAATTATGGGGAAATAACAAAATCAAAAAACTTGTTTGACATTCAGATGTGACGAGAGTGATATCGTTGTACTTTCAGTAATTTTTACTGCAGTTTAATTGCCATACCACTGATACACAGTGCGCCATGTTGTCTACGATCTACGCAATTCTGGTTACCCTCTGCCTCCTTCTGGCATGTACCTCAGTGCGAGCGCAACGGCTAAAACGTCGGTCTCTCGATCCATCTTGCTTGCTGCAACTGGCCGATGACACCCTACCTAGCCGTAACCATGACGATGTTGTGGCTGCGGCAGCTAAATGGGCCCCAATGGTGAATTTAGCCGATGGAGAAGAATGGCGTCCCTCAAGCGTTGACTTCTTCTTAAATGAAGTTAACTTACGTGGAGGAACACCGACAGATGTAACGTCGGCAACGCTCCCCGTGTGTAACGACGACTGCTATCTAGAAACCAAAGTGGGACTGTCCTGTGCTTCGTGCAGAGACCCCCCGGTATTTCGTGGCCAAGACCCCGCAGTCGCCCCGGTGTATGCCATCTACGGGGAGACAAACAACACTGTGAGCATAACCTACTGGTTTTTCTACCCCTACAACCGTGGGAAAAGGGTCTGCATTGGTTACTATGTGGATGTGTGTTGTGGTGAGGTATGGGGGCGTTGTTACATGTGGCAGGATAAGCACCTGTATTGGCGGTTACTCCACTTTTGGGCACCATGTTGGAGACTGGGAACGGGTCGTAATAACATTCAAGGATGACAAACTGTACTCGATATATCTCTATATCCATGGATCAGAAGCTACTGCACAGTTTGGCGGAGAATTCATTTGGGACGGGCAAAGCTTCAAACAAGGTTCACGCACCGTGTCGCTGACCGAATGCAGCCACCCGGTGATTTACTCGGCAAAGGGTTCCCACGGTTCCTGGCCAGAACCCGGGGAGCACGTGTACAAGGATATCATCATGGATAAGCTGGTCGACTCTTGCAGCGACGGCCAGGATTGGCAAACCTGGAACAACCTGAAAGTTGTCAAGAACACCGGTGCTCCCTTCACTGGCGAGTTCAGCTTCCTGAACTTCAAAGGCCGCTGGGGAAATAGAGAGTCTGAATGCACACTTCGGACAATCGGGATCGATCAGTGCATCTTGAGTAACGGTCCCACGGGTCCACTGAATTAGTAGAGCGGTTTGATGCATCGCTCTGTCTTCTCAATAGTCTCCTATATGCTTGCATGTGTACTAATTAATGTAGGGATTATTGAAATATATAATAAAAGGGGTTATTGAAATTTATGGTGTACTTTTAATTTTTTTCCAATGGAGATCATAAAAGAGTTGAATTAATTTAGTTTTGAATATCATTAAATATCATATGCTTCAGAGATGCCACTAGTACACTTGCACCCCCCCCCCCTCTCTCTCTCTCTCTGAAGCTGCTAATCGATAGTTAAATTACCCCCTAACAGCTTCAGTAATTAAGTGTGCCAGACATCAGAGCGTCTCAAACTGAATGTAATTTAGCGAGAAACCCCTTGGAGATGGGTCGATCCCGCTAGATCGATCTAAGTATGGGAACGGGGTCATTGAATGGAGCCTTTTTCCACGATATTTTTACTCTCATAAATTTAATATTAACTATGCTTTACCAAGAAACAGATCGGGATGTGTCAAAAATACTACGGTAACGTGCATATATGTTATAACCTCTATGTCACACCCTGAGTGCTATGTCAGGATTCGACACTGATTTTTACCTGTCCCGAACAGTCGTTATTGTCGAGCCCAACTAGCTGTATGTACAAATTAAGTTTTACTTTAAGATCAGCTAGATGAAGTGATAAAAAACTCGATTACTCGCTTAATTAATCCACATATAAAATCTGTCAGAATTACACACCCAATGAGTTCAGTGGATTGGACGGGCTGTTTAACATTTGAACAATTTTGAGCTATTTTTGAATGACTGAGAATCCTCATCGTACCGATGGTGCAGATAAGGCACCCAGGAGAGCTCTATCTGCCGTCTCTGCTGCATAATCAGCCCTCCAATATTATCCCCATGCCCTTCCTTAGACGAGCTATTTCTATTTAGATCTAATTACACTGGACAGGCCTACCAATAATCTTCAACTGGATAAATAAACTTTAATCATCGTTAAAGTAAAATATATATTCATTATATATTTATTCCCGACACTAACAGCATGAAACGTGTCTTAGGTGAGATTGCTGATTGCGTGCAACATCGAATGAGATTTGTTGCCCATAGTAAATCCCACTTATTTCCGGTCAGTAGGGCCAGTTGTGTGTACATTGCATTACTTGTTGGACTTCGGAAGTTTTATTTAAGAAGAAATCGTATGATTTTTTCTGGGTTTGTGTACGTTAAAATTTTGAGATTTTTCAAAGTTGGTTTGCTGGTCTATGTTTGATTTTGTGGTTTGGATCACACTTTAGGCCCTTCTGCTTCACTAAAATTTCGGCTTGGTTTTCCCGCGTTTTGGTAGGTATATCACAATCCGCTGGGGCGATACAGTAGTAACTATCCAGGGGCAGTGAAGCACTCAGTGAAGTGCAAAACTGATTTCGGCCTGCTGACAGCACAGTGACGTGTACATGGTAATCTTCTTTACACGCGTAAGTTATCTTGATTCCTCAGTATTTTATACAATGACGTGACACTTAAAATATGTGCATAAATTAAAATACTGTTAAAATATTTGTATAATTTAAAATATTGTTTAAACATTTAAACTACTCTGAAGATGCTTAAATATTTCATATAGCCAAAGTCAAGGACTATAAATTTGGCGACTATTAAATCGGGTGCATACATTTTAAAAACATTAAAACAATCTTACAGTACTATATTATTCCACCATAAAGAAAAAATCTAAATGGGTTACAGTATTGAAAACATATGTTAAATCTCCTTAAGGATTCTAACCATTCAAGGTGACAGCCGATCGTGGTACAAATAGATATAAGATATACAGTATAGTGTAGTATAAACAATGTTTATTATACTTGGGTACTATTGCATACCAGGTTGTAAATCAAGCGTTTCTTCATACTCACACAAGGCCCCAAAGTTAGGCTTCTAGTATTGTGGAGAGTTGCAGCGAAAGTAATGGATAAAAGAGCCACAAATGACCCAGAAAGCATGGAATATCTCACCGCAGGCAACATTCAGGTTAAGTCAGAAGCAGAAGTTTGTCAATCATGTCTTGATCATGATATAAAGAATATAAAGAAAGAAGAGGAAGACGACTGCTCCCATGGAATTGACTTAGGTATGTTATGTGACTAGACTTGCTACAGAGACACGCACACATGCACATGCACAACACACGCACATACTTGTACTAGTACACTTTTGTTAAACATATGGAAACAAGCTTTCTTCAGAGTTTTCATGTATGACCATATTTCTTCCGCACATTGTAATAATAAGCAGCTTGTTACGTCCACTCGCTGATAGGAACTCCAGTGCACTATTATTCCCCATTGGCAAAAATGTGATATGTACCCTGTAAAATGCAATCCTTAATGTTATGCTATAACCTTACTACAAGTTACCAGGACCCGAAAGTGACACTTGTTGAAATGTTGGTATTCATTCAAAAATAGCTCAAAATTGTTCAAATGTTGAACAGCCCATGCAACCCACTGAATTCATTCCATGCGGCACGCGTGTGTAATTCTGGGGCCGTAGCGATAGTCCGAAGGTTCAATAGTCCGAAGGTTCATTGAACCCTTGAATAAAAAATCGATGAAAATGTTACCACTTTTCGGACCAATGAACCTTCGGACCAATGAACCTTCGGACTATCGAGACGCCCCCGTAATTCTGACAGATTCATATGTGGATTAGTGAGTAGGCCTGGTGGGTAAGAACAGTGCACGAAACTGTTGGTGCTGGGAAGTAATAATGTGGGGGCTTAATAAAAGAAATTCATCATAATCTTGCTTGCGGCCCTAGAGTAATGATTGGAGGGGAGGGGGGGGGGGAGATAATGAGCACTATGGGCCCATAGTGAAGTGGGGGACGGTAAGAGATGATTTCTAATAGTTTTATTACAGCCAAGGGAGGCATGCTCTTAATGAAGCCTGCAATATGCAGGGCTGATCCAGTTTGTAAAGAAGTAGTACTCCTAGTAGGGTTTAAGAAGGAGGGGAAGTTCGGTTTAATGGGAGAATTTCATTCCATGTTGTTTATTCTAAAGTTGGTGTATGTTCTTAATGATACATAATGGCAGAGAGAAAATTTCTTCATTTTTCATATTCTACCTTTTAAAAAAATTACATATGAAGTCAGTTAAATTTTCTGTATTTATAACACATATAAGTCAGAATAAACTGTTCCATATCAATTCAGGTTTTCAGCCACAGATTAAAAGGGAGATAGAAGGAACACCATACATGGAAGAGATCAGGTCCTTTAAACAATTTCAGGAATTAGGGGTGGAGATCAAAATTGGCCAGCAATTACCAAGATGGAATGCTTTGAAAGATCAACTACAGTTGAATACACATGAAAAGTTGGCAGAATTCTTGATGGATTTGTAAGTATTAATACAAAGATTTATGTAAGATCTTATTGGTTAAATTTGGAAATTTGTGAATGGAAACAGAGTTATTTTAACCTTGTTTCCTTGTGGTTTGATTGATAAATCACATAACAATAAGCAAAAAAAAATAAAAATAATAATAATCTCACACTAGACTTGACTGATACTGTAGCAGCGATCTAATGGAAAGCTTGATACCACCTATCTTCAGTGGGGATATGAATGTGAGTGACTCAAGGAATGGTTATTTGACTGACTAGTTCAGATATAGCTACAGGCCTGTAGCCAGCAATTTCAAAAGGGGGTTCTTTTTCTGAAAATGTGGGCCTTTTTCCATAAAAAACTTCACGTACCTAGATCAAATTTTACCCAGAGTGGACCTTTTCCCAGCAAAAGGGGCGGTTCTTTCGAACCCCCCCCCCCAAACCCCCCTGCCTACGGGCCTGAGCTAGGTATCTTCCTGAAGGCTCTGTCCAAGTAAAGATATTTCACCTCCTTTCTCTCATATTTTTATCACTATCAGACATTTTTATTTTCAGCTATTTTAAGCATACAAGTGAGACGGTTTCTCCTCAGTCATCTGAGACTGTTGACCCACCACCAGATAATGGAATCATAAAGAATGAAGACTACGTACTAGTAAGGTAGGCAAAAATTGGAAATGTTTTTTCTTCACTGAAGTTTATTTTAAGGCTCTGTCCCAGATATCAAAGATACTTTATATTACTTTTCCTTTTCTTTTATTAATTTACCTTATATTTTATCCTTTTCTTTTGTCAGACTATTTTTATTATAATTTCTAGCAATTATAAGCATACAAGTGAGACCCTATCTCCTCAATCATCTGAGATTGTTGTCCCGCCACCTGATAGCAAAATCACAAAGAATGAAGACTCTGTAAGGTAGGCCGAAATTGGAAAGGTTTTTTTTTCACTGAAGTTTAATTTTAGGCTCTGTCCCAGATATCATACATACTTTATCTTACTTTTCATTTATTAATTTTCCTTATATTTTATCAGACCATTTTTATTATTATTTCTAGCTATTCTAAACATGCAAGTGAGACACTATTTCCTCAATCATCTGAGATTGTTGACGCACCACCAGATAGTGGAGTCGCAGAGAATGAAGACTCCGTAAGGTAGGCAAAAATTGGAAATGTTTTTTTTATTTTTCACTGAAGTTTATGTTTAACTACGAAGAATAGAATCTAACAGTAAGACCCCATTTCCAGAGATTAGTTCGATCTACTTTAGATCGGCCTAACTCCATGGGGGTTCACGCTAAATTGCAGTCAGCCAAGCGGGCACCATAGTTAATTACCCCCTTACAGCTTTTAGTAGGCGGGACAGACGCTTAAGCCAAGCTGACAGCAATCTAGTGAGACTCCCCACAGGGATAGATCGATCTAAAAATCTATGGAAATGGGGTGTTAAACATGTAGTCAGTGACTGCACTTGAAAAGCTTATCTCCAATCACTGATTTCAGTAAATCGTATATGCTGTTCAAGTCAAATTTAACTTGTTGAATTGTAGAAATTGAAGTAAAATAGAAGTATAGAACTTCAATGACCAGTAATTTTCCCTGGCACTGTCTTACTTTTCTACAATGAAAATGAAGAAATACTAATTATTTTAAACAGCAAAATAATTTCACCCCTACTACGATTAAAATGTAGTGATATTAAAAAGAAAATAATGGATAAGGGGGGATGGAAACAGAACTTAAGCGGTTTTGCAAGACCCCATGCACAGTGACCTTTAGCTGTTCACAGACTAACACAGAATTTCATGCAATATGATGTCACTGACAATTTTGTTGTTCAAGTAATGTGACACATTTATCTTACTAATAGCATTCTTATTCTACTAGGGACATTTTTGGATAATTATATTATTGTTTGTCATTTACTCAGATCATTAATATAGGTTTGCATGTGATTTTGTGTGTGATGTTGCATTAGTGTATAAATGTCAATAAAACATTTTTTTCATAAATTCAGCTTTGATGTTGTTCTTTTAAAAATTAACTTTTATCATCTTTCCTGAAAGCAAAAGAGTCGTACCACTCCCATACAGTGAAAAAAAAGCTGCACATAAATCTGTTAAGGCCTGTAAAGTGTTGTGTATAAGTAGGTCAGCTTATGACGTCACCATATCGCGAGAGCATGAGTATCTCGAGAGCATTAGTTGAGACAGACGCTGGGAGTATGAACGGATAGGAGACTGAGTTTTGTTTTGGGACTTTTGAAGGAGAGTATTTTTTTTTTTTTTGGAACCTATTTACCACTGAACCGACACTTATATTTTCTACTGGAACTTGCATCGTAATTACTGTGGGATTTCATCGGACACTTTCACTGAACTTTGAGCCGATTTATCTCCATTCAATCTCCAGTCGACAGATTCACATCGGACTTTCACACAGGACACTTCATGCTTTCAGATAGGTTTATTTGTGTATTAAGAATAGCTTATTGTTATTGTCATTAGTTTATTTAGTTTTAATAAAATATTAAAACTTCTTTAAATCTTTTGTCATTGATTTTTGCTGGCATTGGGTACTCTGACCTGTAACAGGCCATAGAGATAATTTAGGTAGCTACAAAAGTCCTTTCAAAATGTAAGAGCCGTTTTTAAAGAAGCAAGAAAGAGCCAGGGGGGGGGGTTTCAGGGGTTTCAAAAAGACTGCCCCTTTTGCTGGGAAAAGGTCCACTCAGGGTAAAATTTGATCTAGGTACATAAAGGTTTTATGGGAAAAGGTTCACTTTTTCAGAAAAAATTTGCATTTTTGAAATTGCTGGCTCAGGCCTGAAAAGATATGCATATCATTTGGCAAAGTTACTGATGACATTTTCTTAAACCACTAACAAATTTCTGGTCATGTAGCCTTTTGAAATGTGGCCATTGCTGCACAGTACGTCCTCTGGACAAATTTTGCTTTGCAAGCGCCATTTGTCTCTTATCTTGTCAGTGGCATGTACAGATTCTCTCAATATTTCTTTTATATTGAGAAAAAAGTGCAAGTCTGACTCAAAAATTCAGTTAATTCAGCTATTTTCCAAGTGGAGAAATTGCTACCCTACTCTCTTGTGGTCCCCATATTCTAATACCAATTCAAGGTGGATCTTGTAAAATTATGCAAAATTTTGGATACCATGACAAGATTTTCTCGGTTGGCATCCATTGTTCTAGCCCTTACATCTGCAAAACTAGAAAAGATATATCCTTAGCTTCTTTTGAAATTGAATAGGAAATCAGTTGGGACTATTAATGTGATCTTGAACATGGCTTTTGACTTTTCACCAGGTAATGCACTTTCCCAATTCCCTATTCCTTATGTGTCCAAATTATAAGAACTTGAATGCAGAAAATCCTGCTGGTGGTACAAAACCTGGTAGTAGTATTGCTGTTCTGATCCTTTTATTCTTACCGAGTGAAGACATCTCTTAACACAATATTAAAAAACAAGATATAAACCATATCACCCACTATACTTTGTGTTGACTAGTGCTTGGTAACTATCAACTTTTGACTGCGTAAATGGCCAATTAGTCTACAGGTGTGATGTGCCTGATATTGTCTTTTGGTAAACTCTTGTCTTCCAGTCTGTTTAAAGCAGGCCCGTAGCCAGCAATTTCAAAAGGGGGGTTCATTTTCTGAAAAAGTGGACCTTTTCCACAAAAACATCATGTACCCAGATCAAATTTTACCCTGAGTGGACCTTTTCCCAGCAAAAGGGGCGGTCTTTTTGAACCCACTGAATCCCCCCCCGCCCGACTACTGGCCTGTGAATTAAGTGTCCATTACTGTCTACCCCTGTCAATCATTTCTTCAAAACCAACTATAAGCCTACTAAAACTTTCACATTTTATAGGAACTATGAACATTTCACTATTCAATCTCAGCACAAAAAAAGGCAAAAAGAATTACATAAATCCAAAAAGAATTTAAATGTCATTATTAAGTGTCGGCCTTTCTCAATTTCAGGCACACTGCACACATCATACATAAGTGTGAAGTATGTGGAAGGCAGTTTAATACAAAACCAAACCTACTTTATCATGCACGAGTTCACAGCAAAAGAAAGTTTAGCTGCAATATTTGTGGCATGTCCTTCAAACAACAAGTTCACGCCAAGAATCATAAGCTGTATACACACTCCACAGAAAAGAATTTTGAATGCCCTACCTGCGAGAAGAAATTCAAGCGTTATGGCAGTATGAAGAGGCATATGAACCTCCATGATGACACACTGTCAGATATCAAGTGCTGCCAGTGGGGATCGAGTTCAAGAGGAGAAGTGGAACACACCCAACTTCCTGAAGAGAACCCATCAACTTTGACTGCTAAGAAACCCAGATATCAAAGGCGATCAATAGTTGCAGATATGTTTCCATCTGATGTTATCATGCCTGAAAATTTGTTACCTCCGAAGGTCAATCCTTCAGTTGCCAAGACATTCAAGGAACACTGGAACTGCATAAGGACAAGGTCTTCAAGGGGTAACAGGCTGCAAGACTGGTACAACTTTCGACTGACCACCTTTCAGCCAAATGACCTTCGAGACCATCTAGTTCCGATTTTAGAAGAACAGCGCTCGCTTTTTAAAATCAATGTTTCATTTGGTTTTATTTTAAGAAACAGCAAGACAGGAGCCTTGCGATACCAACACACAAGCAGCAACAGTCACTGTCTTCTGAAAAAGCCAGCTAAGATCCAATATCGTGAGGATATCGATGAGATATTTGGAGATATATCTCTTCAAGATATTCTTGGGTGCGCTCAACAAGATCAACCCAGTGCACAGTGGGTGGTTGAGATGGTCACAAATGTAGTGTTTTATGTAACAAAGTTAAAACCAATACTTAAATATGTCCCTAACAGTTAACAGGCTAAGAATTCTTTCTGCAAATATAACAACAAAAGCAATGTGTTTGCAGATTATGGCTAAAAGCAAATACAAAATAGTGAATTGTATGATTTATATTACACTCATTAGAACATTGTCACTGTTAGTATTTGACACTATTCTTGTATCTTGAAAACCACAACACACGCAGGCATGCACCAGTTTGTTTTAATAAATTGAAAATAAGACTCGTTTTAACTGACAGTAATTTACTTAAAATCAAACAAGTCCCAGTGTTAAGTTTTTTTTTTTCATTTTTTTTTTAATCATACAGTCTTCTGCTGTGTCATTTTACTTGAATAAACAAAGAAGTTGCCAAGAGAAAATCTGTTATCTCATATTGCATGGCCTACTGTGAATATGTTTCATTTACTATGCAAAGTTATCATGGTTGGTCTGTTTCATAAGAGTTACATAAAACATATTGCTATGTTTTTCCTTGCAAACCTAGTGTTATAAAGGTTTAGGTTGTGTTATGTTTCACAATGATTTACAAGAATAAATTAATCCAATTGTAATATTGATAACGAGAAAAGCACTCAGATAGCGCAGACCTCGGTCAAGGCAACAATTTATTATTATTATTATTGATTATTGATTGATTGATGATCCGAATCAACACCAAAAACTAATCATCTCTTCCTTGGCGCACTTCTGACAGTTCCTGAAAATTTCATTAAAATTGGTCCATAACTTTTTGAGTTATGTTGATGACAGACAGACAAACAGACGAACAGGGGTGAAAACATAACCTCCTTGGCTGGGGTAATAAAATACTCCTGTTAGCTGCTTGCAGCTGGTAGCTTCTTACTCCTGCTTTGGTTTGTTGGTTTAAGACCTCATTCCTGTCCCCAGATCAATCTAGAAGGAAAGACCCATCTCCAAGGGAATTCTTGCTAAATGGCTTTCAGCTTAAGCAGCTTAGATGTCTGTCACGCCTACTGAAGCTGCTAAAACAGTTAATTACCTACTAACAGCTTCAGTAGGCATGCCAGACGTCAGATCCACTAAAGCTGAGTGCAATTAAGCAAGAAAGCCCTCGAAAAGCGTGTTTAGACCAGAGCAATTTCTATTTCATTTTTGCAAGGATCTCACTTGTTTAACAGACCAATTCCATTTAAGATGGTGTCAGAGAAAGTTACATTTGGTCTGCCAACCAGCTGAAATCAAGCTTTTTTTACTCTTCAATCTCGGCACAAATTAACCAATAAGAATTTACATGCAAGTTAAAAGTGTGAGCCATTCTCAATTTCAGGCACAGTGCAAGCATCATTCACAAATGTGAAGTATGTGGAAAGCAGTTTAATACAAAATCAAACCTACTTCATCATGTAGATGATCACCGCAAAAGAAAATTTCACTGCGAAATCTGCGGCATGTCCTTCAAACGCTTAAGTTATGTCAAGAATCATAAGCTTTCTAAACACTCCACGGAAAAGAATTTTGAATGCCCTACCTGCGGGAAGAAATTCAAGCGTAAAGACAATATGAAGAGACACATGCGCCTCCATGATGTCACACCTTCAGAATGCCCTAAATGCAAGAAGAAATTCAAGGATTATGACAGTTTGAAGAATCACATGCGCCTCCATGATCTCTCACCTTTAGATATCAAGTGCTGCGAGTGGGGATCAACTATGACCTCTGAGAAAGCCAGATATCAAAGGCGATCGGTAGTTGCCGAATTGTTTCCAGCTGATGATGTTATCATGCCTGACAATTTGTTACCTCCAAATGTCAAGCCTTCAGTTGCCAAGACATTCAAGGAACACTGGAACTGCATAAGGACCAGGTTTTTAAGGGGTAACACCAAGTCTTCGAGGGGTAACAGGCTGCAAGACTGGTATAACTTTCGACTGACCGCCTTTCAGCCAAATGACCTTCGCGACCATCTGGTTCCGATCTTAGAAGAACAGCGCTCACTTTTCAAAATCAATGTTTCATTTGGTTTTATTCTAAGAAACAACAAGACAGGAGCTCTGCAATATCAACACACAAGCAGCAACAGTCACTGTCTTTTCAAAAAGCCAGCTAAGATCCAATATCGTGAGGATATCGATGAGATATTTGGAGATATATCTCTTCAAGATATTCTTGGGTGCGCTCAACAAGATCAACCCAGTGCACAGTGGGTGGTTGAGATGGTCACAAATGTTGTGTTTTATGTTACAAAGCTAAAACCAAAACTTAAATATGACCCCAAATGTTAACAGACAAAGAATTCTTCTTGCAAATATAACAACAAAAGCAATATGTTTGCAGATAATGTCTAAAAGCAAATACAAAATGTACCTTAATCTGCTGGTTTAAAGAAAATGCACTGAAATGTTATGCTTGTGATAGATTTTGTCTGTGAATATAACATGATGGAAGCATTGTTTTGCAGTTTTGATGACTTTAGTGTATGATTTGGACTTTATAAGATTCACCCATAGTTATTGCTAGTTTATGTTTGCTTGTTATTATGTATTTCATTTACCTTATTTCACCATTTGTCTACTTTACCAAATGTAATTAATCTACTAGGTTATTTTATTAAATAAGAATAGAAAAATTTTGGCATCCAAGTCAAACTACATTGGATAGACAGGATATACATATTGTTTATTTTGATGTCATGTTTAGAGATATCTTTGTTCTGGAAGAGTTAATTGTATGATTTATACAAAACTCATTAGAACACTCACCCATTGGCTTTTGACACTGTTCTTGTATTGTGAAAATCACAATGCATGAAGGCATGTACAAGTTTATTTTAATAAATTGTTTAACAGACCAGTACCATTTACTATGGTGTCTGAGTAAGTTACATTTGCTCTGCCAACCAGCTGAAATAAAGCAATTTTAACTCTTCAAATTCTGCACAAATTAACCAACTAGAATTTAAATGCCAGTTGCAATTAAGTGTAAGACTTTCACAATTTCAGGCACAGTGCAGGCATCATTCACAAGTGTGAAGTATGTGGAAAGCAGTTTAATACAAAATCAAACCTACTTCATCATGCAGATGATCACCACAAAAGAAAATTTAACTGCGAAATCTGTGGCATGTCTTTCAAACGCTCAGATTATGTCAAGAATCATAAGCTTTCTAAACACTCCATGGAAAAGAATTTTGAATGCCCTGCCTGCGGGAAGAAATTCAAGCGTTATGACAGTATGAAGAGGCATATGCACCTCCATGATGACACACCTTTAGAATGCCCTAAATGCAAGAAGAAATTCAAGCGTAATGACATTATGAAAAATCACATGCGCCTTCATGATGTCACACTTTCAGAAATCAAGTGCTGCGAGTGGGGATCGAGTACAAGCAGAGAAGTGGAACATACACAACTTCCTGAAGAGAACCCATCAACTTCAACTGCTAAGAAACCCAGATATCAAAGGCGATATGTAGTTGCAGATATGTTTCCATCTGATGGTGTTATCATGCCTGACAATTTGTTACCTTCGAAGGTCAATCCTTCAGTTGCAAAGACAATCAAGGAACACTGGAACTGCATAAGGACCAGGTCTACGCGGGGTAACAGGCTGCAAGACTGGTATAACTTTCGCCTGACCACCTTTCAGCCAAATGACCTTCGAGACCATCTGATTCAGATCTTAGAAGAACAGCGGTCACTTTTCAAAGTCAATGTTTCATTTGGTTTTATTCTAAGAAACAACAAGACAGGAGCTCTGCAATATCAACACACAAGCAGCAACAGTCACTGTCTTCTGAAAAAGCCTCTTAAGATCCAGTATCGTGAGGATATTGATGAGATATTTGGAGATGTGTCTCTTCAAGATGTTCTTGGGTGCGCTCAACAAAATCAACCCAGTGCACAGTGGGTGGTTGAGATGGTCACAAATGTTGTGTTTTATGTAACAAAGCTAAAACCAATACTTAAATATGACTCCAACTGTTAACAGGCAAAGAATTATTTCTACAAATATAACAGCAAAAGCAATGTGTTTGCTGATTATGTCTAAAAGCAAATACTAAATGTACCTTAATCTGCTGATTTTAAGAAAATGTAATGTTTTTTGATAGAAGATTTGTCTGTGAATATAATATGATGGAAGCATTGTTTTGCAGTTTTGATGACCTTAGTGCATGATTTGGACTTGATTAGGTTCACTCATAGTTATTGCTAGTTTATGTTTGTCTGTTATTATATATTTCATTTTCACAGATGTTGCATTCAATAAACAGATAAAACTTTTACTGCTTCATGAATATGAATAATGAAAGATACACTTCCATGTAATTAATCTAGGTTATTTTATTCAATGAAAATAGCAAAATTTTGGCATCAAAGTCAAACTACATTGGATAGGCAGGATATACTTCTTGTTGTTTTTGATGTCATGTTTAGAGATATCTTTGTTCAGGAAGAGTTAATTGTATGATTTATACAAAACTCATTAGAACATTGTCACTGGTGGCTTTGACAGTGTTCTTGTATCATGAAAACCAGTATGCATGAAGGCATGTAAAAGTTTGTTTTAATAAATTGAAAATTAAACTGATTTAAAACTGACAATCACTTAATATTTTAAAGCAAACAAATCCCAGTGTTTAGTTTTTTTCTTTCATTTTTTTTTTATCGTACAGTCTTCTGTTGTGTCATTTTACTTTAATAAACACAGAAGTTGCTAAGACAAAATGGCTGGTATCTCAAACTGCATGACCTACTGTGAATATGCAAAATTGTTATCTAGGTTAGTCTGTTTCATAAGAGTTACATAAACCATATTGCCATGTTTTCCCTTGTATATTGATATCAAGAGTTAGGTTGAATTAATGAATTAATCCAATTGTAATATTAATAATAAAATGCTCTTTAGCTGCTTGCAGCTCTTAACTTCTTACACCTGCTTTGGCCTATTGGTCCAAGACCCCATTCCCATACTTAAATTAATCTAGAAGGATAGACCCATCTCCAGGGGAATTTTGCTAAATTGCATTCAGTTTACCGTAAGCGGCTAAGATGGCTGGCACGCCTACCGAAGCTACTACACAATAATTAATTACCTCCTAACAGCTTCAGTAGGCATGCCAGACGCCAGAGCCACTAACGCTGAGTGCAATTAAGCCAGAAAGCCCTCGGAGATGGGTTGATCAAGGTATGAGGAGAGGTTCTAAAATCTCTCTTTTACTACTAACCATCATCTTTCACCCTCTGGTGGAATGGCAGCAGCAACAGCATGTTTAGACCAGAGCTTTTTTTTATTTTATTTTTGCAAGGATATCACTTGTTTAACAGACCAATTCCAGTTAAGATGGTGTCAGAGAAAGTAACATTTGGTCTGCCAACCAGCCGAAATGAAGCAATTTTAACTCTTCAAACTCAGCACAAATTAACCAACAAGAATTTACATGCAAGTTAAAAGTGTAAGCCATTTTCAATTTCAGGCACAGTGCACGCTTCATTCACAAATGTGAAGTATGTGGAAAGCAGTTTATTACAAAATCAAGTCTACTTCATCATGTAGATGATCACAGCAAACGAAAATTTCATTGCGAAATCTGTGGTATGTCCTTCAAACGCTCATTTCATGCCAAGAATCATAAGCTTTCTAAACACTCCACGGAAAGAAATTTTGAATGCCCTACCTGCAGAAAGAAATTCAAGCGTAAAGATGTTATGAAGAGACACATGCGCCTCCATGATGTCACACCTTCAGAATGCCCTAAATGCAAGAAGAAATTCAAGGATTATGACAGTATGAAGAATCACATGCGCCTCCATGATCTCTCACCTTCAGATATCAAGTGCTGCGAGTGGGGATCAACTTTGACCTCTGAGAAAGCCAGATATCAAAGGCGATCAGTAGTTGCCGAATTGTTTCCAGCTGATGATGTTATCATGCCAGACAATTTGTTACCTCCAAATGTCAAGCCTTCAGTTGCCAAGACATTCAAGGAACACTGGAACTGCATAAGGACCAGGTTTTTAAGGGGTAACACCAAGTCTTCGAGGGGTAAAAGGCTGCAAGACTGGTATAACTTTCGACTGACTGCCTTTCAGCCAAATGACCTTTGTGACCATCTGGTTCCAATCTTAGAAGAACAGCGCTCACTTTTCAAAGTCCGTGTTTCATTTGGTTTTATTCTAAGAAACAACAAGACAGGAGCCTTGCAATATCAACACACAAGCAGCAACAGTCACTGTATTCTGAAAAAGCCTGCTAAGATCCAATATCGTGAGGATATCGATGAGATATTCGGAGATGTGTCTCTTCAAGATGTTCTTGGGTGTGCTCAACAAGATCAACCCAGTGGAGAGTGGGTGGTTGAGATGGTCACAAATGTTGTGTATTATGTAACAAAGCTAAAACCAAAAGTTAAATATGACCCCAAATGTTAACAGACAAAGAATTCTTTTTGCAAATATAAGAACAAAAGCAATATGTTTGCAGATAATGTCTAAAAGTAAATACAAAATGTACCTTAATCCGCTGGTTTGAAGAAAATGCACTGATATGTTTTGCTTATGATAGATTTTGTCTGTGAATATAATATGATGGAAGTATTGTTTTGCAGTTTTGATGACCTTAGTGCATGATTTGGACTTGATTAGGTTCACTCATAGTTATTGCTAGTTTATGTTTGTCTGTTATTATATATTTCATTTTCACAGATGTTGCATTCAATAAACAGATAAAACTTTTACTGTATCATGAATATAAATTATGAAAGATATACCTCATTTCATAATCTAGGTAATTTGATAAATAAAAATAGCGAAATTTGGCATCCAAGTCAAACTACCGTACATTGGATAGGCAGGATATACATCTTGTTTATTTTGATGTCATGTTTAGAGATATCTTTGTACAGGAAGAGTTAATTGTATGATTTATACAAAATTCATTATAATATTGTCACTGGTGGCTTTGGCAGTGTTCTTGTATCATGAAAACCAGTATGCATGAAGGCATGTACAAGTTTATTAAATAAATTGAAAATTATACGGATTTAAACTGACAATTACTTATTTAAAAGCAAACAAAACCCAGTATTTATTTTTTATTTATTTATTTATTTTTTTTTTCATTTTTTTATCATACAGTCTTCTGTTGTGTCATTTTACTTTAATAAACACAGAAGTTGCAAAGACAAAATGGCTGGTATCTCAAACTGCATGACCTACTGTGAATATGCAATGTTATCTAGGTAAGTCTGTTTCATAAGAGTTACATAAACCATATTGCCATGTTTTCCCTTGTATATTGATATCAAGAGTTAGGTTGAATTAATGAATTAATCCAATTGTAATATTAATAATAAAATGCTCTTTAGCTGCTTGCAGCTCTTAACTTCTTACACCTGCTTTGGCCTATTGGTCCAAGACCCCATTCCCATACTTAAATTAATCTAGAAGGATAGACCCATCTCCAGGGGAATTTTGCTAAATTGCATTCAGTTTACCGTAAGCGGCTAAGATGGCTGGCACGCCTACCGAAGCTACTACACAATAATTAATTACCTCCTAACAGCTTCAGTAGGCATGCCAGACGTCAGAGCCACTAACGCTGAGTGCAATTAAGCCAGAAAGCCCTCGGAGATGGGTTGATCAAGGTATGAGGAGAGGTTCTAAAATCTCTCTTTTACTACTAACCATCATCTTTCACCCTCTGGTGGAATGGCAGCAGCAACAGCATGTTTAGACCAGAGCTTTTTTTTATTTTATTTTTGCAAGGATATCACTTGTTTAACAGACCAATTCCAGTTAAGATGGTGTCAGAGAAAGTAACATTTGGTCTGCCAACCAGACGAAGCAATTTTAACTCTTCAAACTCAGCACAAATTAACCAACAAGAATTTACATGCAAGTTAAAAATGTAAGCCATTTTCGATTTCAGGCACAGTGCACGCAATCACAAATGTGAAGTATGTGGAAAGCAGTTTAATACAAAATCAAGCCTACTACATCATGCAGATGATCACCGCAAAAGAAAATTTCTCTGCGAAATCTGCGGCATGTCCTTCAAACGCTCAATTCATATCAAGAATCATAAGCTTTCTAAACACTCCAAGGAAAGAGATTTTGAATGCCCTACCTGCAGAAAGAAGTTCAAGCGTAAAGACAATATGAAGAGACACATGGGCCTCCATGATGTCACACCTTCGGATTGCCCTAAATGTAAGAAGAAATTCAAAGATTATGACAGGATGAAGAATCACATGTGCCTCCATGACGTCACACTTTCAGATATCAAGTGCTGTGACTGGGGATCAACTTTGACCTCTGAGAAAGCCAGATATCAAAGGCGATCGATAGTTGCTGAATTGTTTCCAGCTGATGATGTTATCATGCCTGACAATTTGTTACCTCCAAATGTCAATCCTTTAGTTGCCAAGACATTCAAGGAACACTGGAACTGCATAAGGACCAGGTTTTTAAGGGGTAACACCAAGTCTTTGAGGGGTAAAAGGCTGCAAGACTGGTATAACTTTCGACTGACCGCCTTTCAGCCAAATGACCTTCGAGACCATCTGGTACCGATCTTAGAAGAAAAGCGCTCAGTTATCAAAATCAATGTTTCATTTGGTTTTATTCTAAGAAACAACAAGACAGGAGCCTTGCGATATCAACACACAAGCAGCAACAGTCACTGTCTTCTAAAAATGCCAGCTAAGATCCAATATCGTGAGGATATCGATGAGATATTCGGAGATGTGTCTCTTCAAGATGTTCTTGGGTGTGCTCAACAAGATCAACCCAGTGGAGAGTGGGTGGTTGAGATGGTCACAAATGTTGTGTTTCATGTAGCAAAGCTAAAACCAGTACTTTAATATGACCCCAACTGTTAACAGGCTAAGGCCCCATACCCATAGACACCACCTGCCTATGTAACAAAACCCAACTCTATGGGGATTCTCACCAAGTCATTCAGCTTAAAAAATTTGCCTCTGTCTTGTGTAAAGGAAAATGCAGAAAAAGCTGGTGATTATGTATGTATGTTGGAAACAAGAGATTGTCATTCCGTTAAGCTGATTGCTTAGTATAGGGAAACATTCACATCGAGAAGAGCCAAGGTCTAGTAAGGCTGCGACCTATATATGGTGGACCTACATGAAAGGTAGACCGCTTTATCCATTAATGGTCTCTCTGCCTCACATACGCCTCCCTGCATGTTGTCTCTGCAGGGGCACACTTATTAAATCTCGGCTCAATTCAACCGGTCAAAGAACGACGCGTGGGGAGGTATGTGAGAGGCAGAGAGACCATTATAGGATTAGCGGTCTTCCTTTCAAGAAGATCCACCATATTCGGGTCGCAGCCTTACTAAACCTCGACTCTTCTCGACGTGAATCCTCCCATTCAGGTTTTTAAAAAATTGGTCTCATCCTCGTGTTAAGTGAAATGCAGAAAAAAAGCTGTTGATTACACAAGTATAAATGTTGGAAACAAGAGATTGTCATTCCGTTAAGATGATTGCATAGTATAGCTACAGTAAACATGTGCATGAACATTCAAGTTTTAACTTTGCCAGACTTGGTCTTATTGCTGTGGCATAACATCAGTAGCAATGACATCTATATTTATCATATTTGCATAGTAATAATGCACACATCTCTGTTAAGTTTTGATTTTGATTTCTTAAAGGTATTCATATGTCACACATTTTTTAATGTCTCGGGCAGGAATTTTTTTTTTTTTTTTTTTTTTGTAAGNCGAAAATCGGTGCGCGCGCAGGATGTCATCCATAAAATTAAAAAAGTGTGGCCTAAGTATAACTTGAGGATGCTCCCTTTTGGTATGTGATGAGCTGAGCAATTCATTTCTTTGCTCCACCTGGTTTTCCTGCTGTAAAACAAATTGTCAAAGGCTTTAAGAGGAGTCTCTTATTGTGCAGTCGAACAGGATAGTATTTCAATCAACATTGCTCAAAATTTTGTACTGACAGAAATGTGTGTTCATCTTTTAACTAAAGGGCACATCTCTTTTTAATTTGTTTGTACAATTGAATGGAATAATGCTGCCAACTGGCATCCACTCTACAGAATCGACGCATATATGTAACATTAGAAAGTTGAAGCATATTGCTCTAGGAAATGTTATTATGGATTATCTGAATTGTAATTGGTTTTATGTGAAAATTATGCTGTTTTTATGATCTTATTTGTAATTGGACAAAGCAAAGTGTATATGACCTATCAAATCATTATAAAACACAACTCGTGCAAAACTCCAGGTCCAATCAATTTCATATAAGACACTAACTTAAGTGCTGTCTTTATTTTTAATAACAAATTCACTCTTCACATCTAGAACTGTGCGCAATCCCCAAATAGTTAAACAACAACCAAGTCATACATATTTTAGGGGTGTATTATTCAATCAAATGTTGGAAATGTAGTATTTTTAATTTTTTTATCAAATACTGTCAAACGCATCATGTTCATGTGACCAATGGTTTTAAGGGAGCTTTTATTAACATAAAAACAAATCTTCAAACTTTCAATAAAGTAAAAAAATAAAATAGAATAAAAATGAAATATGTAATTTTGTTCATGCAAATTACGCACTTCTTGTTTATGATATAACTGGTGCTAAGTAAATTCACTTCATAATTTATGATTTTATGTCCTTGTGAACAGCTTCATGTTTAACACATTCTCTCTCATAAGCGAAAACTTTCCTGCAATATTGGCAGTGGAAGGTCCTCACATTGGTGTGGATCCTCTCATGGCTGTTACGTGTACCACTTTGTGTGAACCTCTTTCCGCAAAACCTACACTTGAAAGGCTTTTCTCCCGTGTGAACCCATTCGTGGTTAATAGCAGCATGTTTCTGCACAAAGCGTCTCTCACAGAATCGGCATTTATGTGGCCTTTTTCCAGCATGGGTCATTTCATGCAATATCAAGTTTCTCTTCCGAACTAATGCCTTTCCACAAACCTTACAAATAAATGGCCTCTCTCCTAAGTGAGTTCTTTCATGAAGAGTACATTTATTCATTGTAGGAAAGTTTTTACCACAGTACTGGCATATGTACATTTCTGGTTTGTAGGCCTTTTTATGAGTGCGTTCATGAGCCTCTCGATCCTTTTCATAAACTGAACACTTACATTTTTTACAGTAATACATCATTTTTGACACAGATTTGTGCTTTATTTTGTGTAAGTTGAGAAGCGCTAAGTAGCTAAACGTCATTCCACAAGCATCACAGATGAAAGGCCCATTTCCTTGTACCTTTTGAACTATCTTTTTGGTGTCAACTATCTCCTTTTTGGTGTCAATATTGTATTTTTGTGGTTTCAATATAGAAATCCAAGCACCACTAGACATTTTCCCTGAATCCTTTAAAAGAGGCTCATCTGTAACTTTGTTTTTCAAGGTAAGTTGTGGCTGAGAGGCAAATGTGCCAATATCATGTGTGTTATCTTGATCTGGCAAGAAATGTCCTCTTTGAGTAGATTTCAATGAGCTTGCTAGAACCTTATTGGAAGAAACACTTGATATTATAGTAGTCTTATTGGTTGCTGTCTTGATAGGTATTTCACTCCAAACTACATTTGGTCGAGTAGAAACAGTGAAAGGGCTTTTTAAATCGACATCTTTGTTAGGCACTGAATCTCCTTTTTGGGTTGAATTCGGACGCTTTGGAGCCCAAACAATCAAGTATTTCTTTACTGTATCTTTAACTCCACTAGAACCAACCTGTTTCATTGATGCATATTGGTCGGTTTGTGTTGTTGGTATGTTCTGTATACTTTTAGATGCTTCTTGCTGTGCTTTGGGATCAGAGACAGCTTGAGTAAAGGAATTAATGTGATTTGAATCTTGCTCCCTGCTAGTGTCAGAGACGGCTGGAGTACAGGAATAACCGTAATCTGAATCTTGCTCTCTTCTGTGATCTAAATCTTCCTCTCCTCTGGTGTCAGTGACTGTTTCAGAAATGGTGCTATTCTGCTCTGGCTCTTGCTGCTTTCTGGTGCACAATTTACTTTGAGAATTTGAACTGCAATGTGTTAAACTGTGCATCCCTATGGTGTTATTTATGACTGGATTAAGAAAATTGTCCCCACCATTACAGTAGCTGAAATAGAAAATATTAGTCAAAAGTTGTATATTCATTTATCAAACAGTATCATAAAGATAACATAACTGTTTTACTCTAAGTTTCTAATCTTAATTTCCATTAACTTTGAAGTTACATTTCAAGCAAGCTTGGATTCCATATAACACAAAACCACTTCTACTTGTTACTCACATGACTAAAATTAAGTCAAAATGCCAAGTTTGAAGGAGCAAACCAGATCAATCAATCCATCAGCCAAAAAAGAAACTTTAAAACTGCACCTCTTTCAAATTTTTGGTCAACCTAGTTATCCCCCCCCCCCCTCCCCCAGTGTATAAAAGTTGATAGTTGATGTTACTCCAGTACTGTACTCTGTGCACATTACATTATGTACGGACCTAGCTACACACACAACTGTATACACTGGTGGAACAATTTAACAACTGAGACAAGTTTTAACATTCAAGGGTTATTAAAAAAATAATTTAATTTAAATACATCAGGTTTCAAGCCAGTACACAGGATGGTTTCATGGGATTTGAATGAACTGCCCTTTTTTTGTTGGGAAAAGGTCTTGTCTAGGTAAATATTGATCCAGGTGCACATAGATTTGAAATTAAAACTCAATGCCCCTTCTCCGAAAAAGAGAAATAACTGGTAATGGGCTGCTTTAAGTATACAAATTGTCAGAATTAACCAACAAAGATGATGGATATGCATTAAATGGCGGCACTTACTAGTCCATCAAAAATTTTGCCAGGTTTTCATTTGTTTCCAATTGTAGTCTATCTTTTAAAGCATTCCACCTGGGCAATTCCTGGCCAATGTTTATCCCTATTCCTACTTCTTGGAATTGTTCCAAGGGCCTGATGACATTTTCCCCTAACGGTGTTTCTTCTTTATCCAATTCCAACTGAAAACCTGATTTGATGAAAAATAGAAGACAAAGTAAGGGGAAGAGTTCCTAATATGGGGTAATTCTAATTTAAAATAAGTTTATTTTACCAAAACACTACTTTTTCATCACTTTTTTCTTCAAATGGTTAAAATTTGATTTAAACTAGTCAAATCAGCCCTGCTTTGTTAAGCCAATTTAAGTTAGTTTCAGCATATGGCTACACCAGTTCAAACTTCGCTATGAAGAACATGAACCATTCTACTTTGTAATAATTGTTTGAATCCACCTCTGCCTGTTCACAATCCAAAGCATGCCACTTTTCAAATTAGCATCATGCAATACTGAAAATATGTCAACAAAATCACTGATGAATTTGTACCATTTCAGTGAAGTCATAGAACTTCATGCGCGCTCTACCCAGGTAAATCAAGAACCTGTGGGAGAAAATGCGTAATAAAATCACAAAGGTTGTAGGGGCATACTTGAGTCAATACCTTCAGGACATTCTTCCTTTTCCTCTCCCCCTTTTATCTCTAAACTCCCTGTAAAATGAAAATTGTGGCCTGCCTCATAGTGTTCTTCATTCAGAAATTCTGCAGTTTTTTGGTCATCAGTGGCTTCTTCATCCATTCTCTGACAAACAGCAACTACCCCCTTGTAAATATAAATTGTATAAAAATGGCTTTAAACGCTTCAAGGCAAAAGCTTTCAAATAATCTTTAGAATTTAATTACAGACCAGGACGGTCAGTAAAAATTAAGATGCCTGTATGTAAATTAAACAGTTACAGGGTTATCCCCAAAAGATATCTCCATTTTTTATGTACAGACACAGATTGCCAGTTTTTTTTTTTGTAGCAAAAAAAGGGTCGACAAGGGCGACGAGGTATTTGGTGGGCTGAAGGTTGGACAGGCCACCTGACACTTTGGCTGCTTCGTGTGGGTCGAAGTAGACAAAATGGCATCGACCGAAATGGCCTTTTAATAGATTTGGTAGTATTAAGCATATCTTTGCATCATTACTTATAGTAACTGGCTCGCGCTGCCAGTAATTACGCCGCGGGATATTCAGGGCACAGACCGTGATCATAAGACATACCGCGAATAGAAAATAGAATTTAGAAAATAGACATTGCATGTGAATGAAGCCTAAGTGTATAGTGATGAATTAACTTGACAAGGTTATGTAAATATTGTACAGGTATTCCTTGTATATTATGTACAGTGTATGAATCATGCAATAGAATTTTTTGTTGGTGGGAGCTAAATTTGATCTTCTAAAAGATACTATATAAGGATGTATGGTGGATGTGGCATTTCTATTAAGTAGGTCAAAAATTTCCTTACTCGTATTGTTTCATGTCATGATATGTTGCATCACAAAACCCTAAGACACCGTTATTTTGATTTGGCTTTAGGGGATAAAAGTTGGCATTGTATAGCATAATACTTTATCTGTTACAACTTGTTGAATACTTGTTGTTTATGTTATGACCAAGGTTACAAGATCTAGACATTTCTTTAATTTCCCTATTAATCACTACAATCTATGACATGTAATAGATTTGTCTACCATCTAATGTGTGGGTGCGTGTTTGTGTGTGTGCGTGTGTTTGTATGGCACATGATTGCTCATATTAAACCAGTCAAACCAAAGTATTGCTCAAAGATTCAAGAATCCATAACTTCCTAAAGTTGATGCAGTTTTTCTTGTTTCGTAGAAAGCAAATTTATAACTGGGATATGTCTCAAACTGAAAATAGTTGTAAGGAAAACACTAATCCTCCGAGAAATCTCATCTCATGGCGTGAGAAGTGTTTCACTTTTTCTCTCTTAATATACCACATCCTGCAAAGTGGAGAAGTAAATTGGGAAGTAATTTTTTTTTTCGAAACACTTTTTCAAAACAGACCTAGTCATATTTGACATATAAACTGCATTGACATTTGATTTCAAGAGTTTTTGAGCCATCTCTTGTTCCCAATATTTGTATCCTTATTAAGAAACAGTTCACAAACCAAGATCAGAGCTACCTCAGCCATTGTAGAACAAATAAAAAAGTGAATTTGAGAAATAGATCATGTATCGTGATTTTTTTAAATTTGGGGGCCTCTTGATGCAACTTTTGGTGTTTAACTGACATATATGCTAAAATCTGCACATTCTCATAGATCAGTATTATTACCAGGCTTTATTTATTAGGGTGTATTACCATGGATATCATGAAAACACTGGTGGTGTAAACAGCACAGTCAAACTGTCCCTGTACCAGAGGTAGTGGTATCATGTTGTTCCCAAGTTGTAGTATGAAACAAATATCTCTGTTTGTAGTGGATGAATTCTTTGTTATACAATACATAGCACAGATGGAGTGGACTAGATATATGTACTGGGAAATATAGAAGTAGAAGGAAATTATATCAAGTTTAGGAAATTATATCTTGTGTTTTGTGAACAATTCTCGAGCCTCTTTGGGTGCTGAAAATACATGAGCCCTTTCATCAGCAGAACAGCTTGGCGCGTCCTCCATTTTACCTGCGGTAAGATCAAAAGCACAAATTTTCGAAAGGCTGTTCCGGCTACGTCTTAGCAAAAAATGACAAATAAACAGCTCATATAAAAAGAGAATTAGTTAAATTATCTAGGTAGGGGTTACAGAACTTTGCAAACTTCGTTATTCTAACTCTAAAATGCGATTAAAAAATTAAAATGCAAGCTATGGCTGCTTTTTTTCGGTTTTCTGACCTTCTGTAACCCCTCACTCGAAAGGCTGATTCATCCTCTGCACGAATATGTGGTCAAATCCATGGAAATAACACCCGGGACGCCGTACGGAGCTTTTAGAAATATGCCGCGAAACGCGCAGGTTGAACAAGATGCGTAAATAGCGGGAACCAAACGAGGAAGTGAAATCATCGCAGAGATTATACATTGTTACAGATATTGCAAAAAAGCCCACTGAATGTACTTTCTAAATATGTTTTTATATTTACCATAGGACCCAAAACTTGGAAGTTATGATGGAAAACACACAGCAAGGTTAGATTTTTTCCCGCTTTCCGCTGTGTAAGCGGCATGACCTGACCTCCCTACGTTTACTATCCAATCAAGGTGACAGCTGAGCGTGACTTTAACAGATGTTATCATACACACTGTCATACAAAATGTATAAACATATAGTCCACGATATTGAATTCATTGATACTTACATCTGAGTTCTGGACAAGGGGAAATACAACTTCTTGGCCCACATCTGGAACACAGTTTCCTACCACGATGGCTTTTCTAGTCCTACTCTCCGTCGCTTCGGCCCATGTCGCACTTGAAATACTGTTTGAAGTTCGCCTGGTTTTAACCGTTTTGCGTGACTTTGGTAAATCAACTGATGGTACTGCATCAATAGAATTACTATCTTTCCTGTTTGGCTTTCCGGATTGGAAGTGACAGCCACAGACTTTGAAGTTGTCAGTTATATCTTTCAATGAAATATCCGCACGACCAGTGGCACTAATCCATAACAATTTCGAACGTCTGTCCTTTGGAAATACAAAAAAACTACAAACATTGTCTTTTCTACCTCTCCGGTGGCTGCAGTTATACACGCAGCAGTTATCATGGCCACCCATGACCGATAAATGCAAAGAGCGGGAGATCTACTTTACATCGTGACAGCCGTCCATGAAGGCCCCTTCTACTCTTGCCCCCTGAGAAACAGTCCCGCACAAAATGGCGCGAACTGCGCATGCTCTCGATTTCGTGGAAAACACTCTATTTAACTCACAGGTTTGGTCAATCTTACTAAAAATGCAGGATGAGTTCGAAAATCAGCATAATCGGGCCATTATTTTAGAAGTTATGCTGTTTTTTCACATTTCCTCAGATTCAATTCTTAGGCATGTTAACAGTCTCATTATTCTGAGTATGTGTCCTACTGTATTTACATAATGCTAAAAGGCATAATGACCATCAATTTGATGAGCCGGTGGCTCCCGGGCTGCAGTCTTTCCCATTTGCTCCGTTTGAGTTCATCCACAGGGAACCGAAAAAACGAACACTTTTCCCTCCTACTTCGGTGACTACATCTAAAAACGAAGCAGCAAACCATGTTGGCAGCTGTAGTTCTTTTAACTGATTGAAAGAAGCAGTCGTGATGCGTTAGGTGAGATTACTGATCTTGTGCAATATCGATTGATAATTGTTTTCCACAGTAGGCTTATAAAAAAATAATGTTTTTTCTGGGTGTGGGAGTTTGTGAAAATCTCGTTTTTAGAAATTGGTGAGGCTTATTATTTTTTATTTGGGTACATTTACTAGTGTGTCCGGGTATAATATTGCGTTTCCCCTGATAGTTATTCTGTTGGCGTTCGAATGAATGAATTTAATGTTGAAAATCATGGATCAAATAAAAAGCCACTGATCGCAAAGAAACCACTGAATGCCTCACGGCGCCTTACAACGATCAAGCAAAGACAGGCCTTTTTCAGTCTACGGGGAGTGCAGAGATGAAAGAGGGAGAATACAAGGAACATCTCAGAATAAATGACTTACATGTAGGTACGTACCCCCCCCCCCCTCCCCACTTGTTATTTTTACACATATGTTCCCTCATAAACTGCAACGGCCACATTGTTTTCACTCAGATCATCAGTTATGTTAGAAATACCCAATAGTTCTTCATCTATCATCTATCTTCGTTGACAGATTTTCTATGTAGTAAATGTGACATTTTTTTCACTTCAGCTTGTAGACTATGTACTATATTGTACATTCCATATCAATCCAGGTTTTCAGCAACAGATTAAAACGGAAGAAGAAACGCCATCTCAGGAAAATGTCATCAGGCCCTTGGAACAATTCCAGGAAGTAGGAATAGGGATAAACATTGGCCAGGAATTGCCAAGATGGAATGCTTTAAAAGATAGACTACAATTGGAAACAAATGAAAACCTGGCAAAATTTTTGATGGACCAGTAAGTCAAGTGCCTCTGTAAAGATATATCTACAGGTACTATATAACAAACTGTTTTTCATTGTCTTTTTAACCTTTTTTCTTGAGTTTTGTTAAAATTAAGAATAGCGATAGAATCTTTTTGTTACAACAGATCTAATGATCTGGATCTGCAAGTTCAATTTTAAACCATATTTTTTCAGATGTATGCATTTTTTAAAATAAAAGATATATTATTTAAGAACTCGGAATGTAAAATGGTTAGGGATATATCTTTTTGAATTATATTCAGTTTGGTTTGTTAAATATAAGTAAGTTTTCAGGTATTTACTATTATTATCAAACTTTTCTTTTTAATTCCAGCTACTTAAAGAATAACACACTCACTTTAAAACCTTTTGACATTTCATACCTCCCTCCAGATAACAATATTGCAGAGGACATTGATAGGTAAGTTAAGATAGTTAAGATAGTTATCTCCTCTGAAGTTGTTTATTGATTGAAAATGAAGTTTTCATATAATTATGTTTGACAGTTACCATGTGACTGAGAAATTTTATTATATACTGGTACATGTACAACAGCCTGGGTGCATTGAAATTCCTTGTTATGATAAACTGTTACTTTAATTCAAATTGGCATGAGGCAATGCACTTTAATAAAGCAATACTTGATTGTTGTATGGGGCAGTGAGAGAATCTGTGGTTTCTCAGTGATTTTTCATCCATGTTCTGGGCACAAGCAGTGTTTATACTGTCTATTAACTGTTATGATGATGGATTCATTTCTGAAACCAACAGATCAGTGTATTATCTAGCAAGTACAACCAATAGCAGTCATTTGAAAATGCCAAGTCACTAATTAGTTTATACTTACTGGATTAATTAGTCAAGGGAAGGTGTGTGAATTCCTGAAGGTTTAATATCATACTATAGAATTGTCATAGATGTGGTTACTTATGTCTACATACAATTCAGAACCTAAGAACAATAAACTTTTCACATAAAAGTGCCCCGTTTGATATTGTCCTTCTGAAATGTACAGGAATACTTTACACATTTTAATTAGAAATGGAATAGATCATCAGATCCAAGTATAAGGAGGGGTCGAGCAACAATTTGTGAGTGAAAATTGGTTGTTTTGGGGTTCAGTGAGAAACCCCAGATAAGATCATACCTTTACATAGGAACCTCTTAGGCTTTCTGTGTTTTAAACAGGCATGTGATGTTCCATTCATTTCATTAACGAGCGCCAGGAAAGTGAAAAAGAAAAAAGCAATAATTCCTCCTTTTTTTTTTTTTTTTTTTTTTTGTTACGTCTCTAGCTTTTAAAATAATTTCTTTCTTTATCTTTAGCAACAGTGAAGTTGTGGATTCCTTCCCCTGTGACAAGTGTCATCGAGTATACACCAGGAGAGACAGCTTGAAAAGACATATGAAGAAGCACAGTTCAACTGAAACATATGATTGTGACCATTGTGAGGAGACATTTCCTGAAAAGCAGGCATTGCAGCGACATCTCCAGAAAAAACATTCTGGAATATTACACCCTTGTTCTCAATGTGATAAAATATTTAACACCAAAGCAGGACTCAGGACACATGAAAATTCACATTGTAATATAAAATGTAATCATTTTATTGTAGATTTTTAGGGGAAGGTATTTTTTAAAATTATTTATTTGATATATGAAATACTCATATAAATAAGCACACATAGGAAAAAATCTTATGTCTGTGTTAAATGTAACTGAGTTTTTTGTAAATTATAATAATTTGTGCATTTTTTAACACTTCTTCAAATTTTTGTTTTAAATTTAATGAAACACTCGATAATATTGACTTTCAAGTTACTATCCTCACCAGATATGCCACATTTATTGTTGATTTTACTCAGTCTTGTAAAAATAAGTTCACTTAGGATCAGCTGATCCCTTAACACAACCGATCTGGGTATGGATGAGAAGTACGGTATATTTCTAAATGCTCTTGACAGGTTTAAATGGCAACTTTTCTTGATTTTTCTCTATTAGTAAATTTGTTCACATGTATTGTGCTGCTATTCATAAACTAGCAAAAGTAAAAGGCCACAATGGAATATAAAGTCTCACATCTGCCATATTTATTACAGTTCTTGAAGATGGTGTCCCCAAAGCAACTTCTTTGTCAGATGTTCCAGTTGATTTAACTGATAAGTGTTTTCATTCTTTTGAACAAAGCTTTGCTATTCAATATTATAAGTTTCTCATCTACTAGTGATTATTTAAAAGATTGTGTTAAAACAATTAGGGGCATAATTGAGACCTAAAAGGATGAAAACCTTTAAATAAAAGGGCCTTATCTCGATATTTTCTTCTGAAATGGACAGGAAAGCATTGTGGTCTGCATGATAGCTAACATTAAACATTAATTCCATGTGCAAGGATGGGTCAAGTAATGATTTGAGGATAGCCTGAGGTTTTTTTTTTTTTTTTTTGAGAAAAATAAGATTTGGCAGGAATATCACGGATAGCATAATTTAAACCATTTTCATTATTTCAGAGTGTACCAGTAATCCAATTCCTCCATCCCCTGATGAGACCAGAGACGCTGTGCCTTCTGGTGCTGACGAAGGTAAAAATCTGTTCACCCTGTGGTACTTCAAGTTAAATTTGATCACAACAGATTAAGCTCAAGTCTTAAAGGATGTAGTTAAAGGATACAGTTTTAATAAATTTTGACAAGTTTTGTTTTGACATTTTTAATTTATTTTTTTTCAATCAATCTTATTATTCATTTATTTATTGATATTAAATAATTTATTTACTGCTATTAATAGCTTGATTCTTGTGATTTGGATTGCTATTCCAGATGGTTCGGGAATGGTTTTCCAGTGTAGGGTGAGTGGGTGCGAGCGGGTGTTAAGCTCAAAGTGTGCTCTACAAAAACATAACAGGACCCACACTGGTATTTACCCGTTCAACTGTCTGGAATGCCCAAGGGGGTTCCACGCGCGGTCTGCCCTGGAGGACCACAGAAGGTCCCGTCACAAGGAGAAAAGGTTCCATTGTGTGCGTTGTAATAAGACTTTTTGCACTGGGTGTGTATAGTTTATTTATATTCTGATGTATTTTCATTTGTTTTCTCGTTTTGGATATGAACTATTCAGTATGTGCTTTAACAAGAGAAGACATACTGTATGAGGAAACTCATGAATGTGCTTTGAAGGTTACTTATTGGTGAGATGAATGGTCAAGTAGGTTGTTAAAATGAAGCAATGTTTTTTGCTTTTATTTATTAATTTTTTTTATTCACTAAAAGTTGTCAAGTAAACATTTTCATTTTGCCAAATAATGCTATTTCATTAATACTTTGTCACAATGTCATTTTGTTTTCTTATTTCAGCCAAGGTCGCAAGCTTCATGAGCAGCTTCACAGAAATGAGTCGCACCAGTGCCACTTATGTGAGAAGACATTTCCTACAAAAATATACCTCAAAATTCATCTGAGGACACACATAGAGAGTTTTGAATGTACGATATGTAAAAAAAGTTACACAAAGGCAAGGCATCTGAAGGACCACATGGCCTTTCACAATAATAAAACCTTTGATTGCAACAAGTGCACATTCAAAACGAATTATAGGCAATCTTACAATCGTCATTTAAAAGCACATAAAAGAGAAATTCAGTCTATTCTTTTATCCAAGTATTGAAATGGACCTCTTGGATTTTACGTGCATTTTTTAGGACAATACAGCCAATGGGATATGAATCTGGCCGTTTGACAGCTTTCCTGAACAGGGCACTTGCAGTCTTCTGTTAACTAATATGAATTTTGACACAAAAAAATCCTGTTATGTGTACCTTTTAGGTTATTTGTTTCCAACTTTCCAACCTGTACATTTATAGGTGTTCTTTTTATCTCACTTTTCTATTTTTCATCCTCAAAATTGACTGACTTTTCTCAAAATTGTGTCACTGCTCAAGCAAGTGAAACTATCCGAGTCTCCTCAGGAGTACTTTTTTGCCTGGTTTGCCTTCGATCTAAAAAAAATTTCAAAACTGTTTAAAGTTTATTTTTGGTGTCAAGTGGTTCACAAAATTAAAGAAAAATCATGCCACATTGGTAATATTTGATTGAATAAAATATGACTTATAATGGAAAATTTTGTGTCTGTACCATAAAATGATAGCAATCCTGTTTAACATCATATGTTTAAAAAATTCAAATAAAACAAATTTTGTCTACTGAGCCTGTTTACAGATAGTTCCCATTCTTTAATAAACATCAATATACTTATTTTGTCTGGCCTAAAAAAGTATTTTACTTTCAGTGTGTTAGTTGAGATATTTTGCACATGTATGTGTATTATCGGTTGCTATCCGTTTCCCATGACAGAATATGAAAAGGGTGAATACTGACATCTAACCAACTCGTTGCAGGCACGGTGTTTTTCAAGAAAAAGAGATTGAGCAGATTGAATCCTACTGCATTCACAAGTGCCAGTTATTCCTTCAAACAAAAGTCATTTACAAACTTACAACGTATTTAACGTGGTAGAGGATTGATTAAGCGAGGTAGAGGCAATTACAATTAATACTTCGTCTGGTCTCTCTCTCTCTCTCTCTCTCTCTCTCCTCTCTCTCTCTCTCTCTCTCTCTCTCTCTCTCTCTCTCTCTCTGCATCTGGTCATTACTGAAGCATTTAGGCAACAAGAATACCTTACTGATTGGTGTTAGATAACCTGCCCATGCTCGAGCTAGAGCAGAAGTTGCATCAGTTTTCACTGTAGTCGGTGTAGGTACATACAGTATGTACTTATCTGCATAACAATTAACATGTGCATGTAAGCGTAGCGTTTTTAGCAAAAGTACCCGACTCAGAACAGCCACCACACCCCTCCCCCCCCCCCCAAACACCGCGAAACCGAGACCACTGCTCTTTACACAGCTGCTATTTTGTAGTAATGCATATTTGGGGTGGGGGGGGGGATGCCTTACTAGACCGGGGATCGAATCCAGGACTCTTGCTTACCGTGGTAGTGCTCTACCAGTGAGCTATCTTACCAAGTCTACCCCAGCTAGTCACTACATAATTAAGTCTGAGAACTGAGGCAAGTGTAGAATTCATCAACACAATGTAAAACTTACTGCTTTACTCTGACATCAGATTATCTGACAGGATTGATAGCTGTCAGAATTTGGTCAGGGTGTTAGGTATTAGATACATGTATACCATGTCACTTTAAATTTCATATACATTTTCCATTGTTCATATCTAATTCTATATTTGTTTTCCAGGCAACAAAAGAAAATCGGAAAAAAATGGATGAAGTCTGGGGAAAAGAATGCCAAAATATTGACTTGAAAGATGGAGATGTAAAACTGAGGAAAACTGATGATGATACAGAAAACCAACGAGTGCCTGAGGCCCACAATGTACCAGACTATTTATATTTCATATTTGCTGCTGCTCAGTTGTTTTTTGCCTTTCACCAACCCCCCCCCCCAAAAAAAAGTCATGTTGATTGGATGTAAAAGTAGCTACTGGTTAGGTTTAATACTGTATATAGATTTATTTCTACAGTACTTATTAAGCATCAGTGATTGAAATAAATTTTGTGTATAACTTCCTGCTTAAAATACATCAATCCTACTGCGCACATACATTTTTTATTGCAGGTCACATGTCCTGTCAAGCGTAAGCCAGGCCGTCCTCGTAAGAAAAGAAGGGGTTGCCCAGGTGGTCCTCGTAAGAATAGAGCACCAATAATAATAAGGACTCTTCCAGAAGAAGTCTATTTACTAGACAGGAAAACAAGGTCATATGAGACGGTCCGTATTGGTAGCCAAATCGATAGGTGGCATGCTTTAAAGAATCATTTACTGATGGGACAGGGTACAAAAATACAGGATGAAGATGTGGCAAAAATTCTCCTTGACTCGTAAGTATGGACAAGTAGGATTACCTTGTTTTGGTTAAATACTTTCAGTCTGGTTGAGTTGATCAGTATTTTTGTTTTGTTTGAGAACTGTGAGTCAGATTGAGTGGATGTCCTTGTTTTAGAAGATCACTGTGATTCTTGTTGATTTGATGCCCTTTGAGTATTTGAGTATTGATGTGCCTTGTTGAGTAGGCAGTCTTGAATTGGTCAAGTATTGTGAGTATGGTGTAGCTGATACATTGTAAAAAGTTCAATCTAGGTGCTCAAATGAAATTTGCCTGGTTTGTCTCAGAATGACACAAAACAGTTTACTAAATTTATTGTTCATTAATGTGGATCTACTCACTATAACCAGGGAATTATATCCGATATAATTCCCTGCCATAATATACTTAATCATTTAATTGAGTCTTGTATATTTTTCAATATTCTATTGTATTTACACACTGTAAATAGATAAGTTTAGAGAAATATTGTTTTAGCACAAACACATGACTGGATTGTTATACCTGTTGTATTTTTGGTCAGGTTCTATGAATGTGGCAGACACCATTCTGACCAAGGCGGTATCGCTGCCAGACAACTTGTTGTCTACATGCAGCAGCATGATTCAAACTCTACAGATAACACTGGACAAGACATGGCTGTTTCAACAATGAAGCAACAGGCAAGTTGCATGAAATTTATTGACACAAGAGAGCAAGGTGAAGCAAGCCATGATAATTCTGTGGATCAATATACCAATGATGTTATCATTCAGAATATAGAAAATCGGAGTAATACTGAAGCCATAGGGCAGCTTGAGGCAAGTAAGGAGTATACCATTGATAATGATAGTACTGACACCAGAGGGCAGCTGAAGGCAAGAAAGGACTATACTATTGAAAAAGACAATACTAACACCAGAGGGCAGCTGGAGGCAAGAAAGGATAATACCAATGGTCTAGACAATACAGACACCAGAGGGCAGCTGAAGGCAAGAAAGAATAATACCATTGGTGTAGACAATACTGACACCAGAGGGCAGCTGGAGGCAAGAAGCGATAAACCCTTTGGTCAAAACTATGGCAACAGTGGGGTATGTGGTTTGTTAAGCCAGGGCAACTGCTGTGGTCAAGACACTTCTGAATTGAACCTTCTTAAGACGTTTTGTGTGGACCATGACAGTATTATAAGGATTCACATCCCTTTTCAGACACAGGAAATTAAGTCAGAACCAAACAAAGATCTCTTTGATAAGGGCAGTGCTTGTATTGAAAATACAAAGAAAACTATTATACAAAATAAAACTACTCTCAGTCCCATGAATCTGATAGATGATGAAATTAATTCCAGTGAGGAAGCAATGAGTGAAGAGAGCGATGATCACTCGATGAAAGATGATGATGATGATGATGATGATTTGTATGTACCAAGTGATGAAGAGCTTGAAACAGATGACGATGAAGTTAGCATGAGTGGTGAGGAAAGTGATGATCCTTATAAGCCTGGAGATGAAGGATATCAACAAGGAAAACGGAATTGTGGCAAGTTTATCAGTAAAACAAAAAAAATATTTAAGAAGCATCAGGAAGGGCACAGGAAGCACAGAAAGATGGCAGCAAAACAAAATGGGGAGAAAAATAAAATGCACACCTGTAAGGATTGTGATCTGAGTTTTCCAATGTTGTCAGGTTTGAGAGATCATAAGAAAGCTCACTCTTTTAAGTGTTCATACTGTGAAAAGGAATTTAAAAGTAAACGTAGCTTCAGAACCCATGAAAAGACACATCCTGAAGCCCGTAATTTTCTTTGCAGATACTGTGGAAAGAACTTTACCTTAAGTCAGTCATGGAGATGGCATGAGAAAAATCATGTCAAAATTTTGCCTCCGGAAAAAACATATTTGTGCCACCTTTGCGGTAAAGATTTTGTGAGAGGGGTTTATTTGCAGAGGCATATTAGACTTCATACTGGTGAAAAACCTTTCCAGTGTAAAACCTGCACAAAATCTTTTGCTGCTCCTGGTGCATTGCATCGGCATAGTTTAATTCACAGAGGTGAAAAACGACATCAGTGTAACTTCTGTGAGAAAAGATTTGTACAAAAAGGGGCTTGTACCAGACACATGAGAGTGCACACAGGAGAGAAACCTTACAAATGTCATTACTGCGATGAGGCCTTTTCGCACAATGTCAGTCGTAAAACGCATGAAAAATTGCACAAAAAGTGTGAAGAAGAGTTTTCAGTTTAAACAACATTTCTCTGATAATATTGTGGCTTTATTTTAGAAGTTGATTATTTTATTTATGTTGCACTGACTCTAATGCTTGAAAGTGTAAGATTTCCCTGCTAAGTATTTGTACTTCATGCATTTTGTTGCCCAGGATCACCCTCGTGTAACTTGACCAAATCCCACAATGCAAAGAAAGTGGCTTGCTTGAGAGGTTAGTCCATATGAACTGTTTTTTCACCTGAAAGTATTTTTGTTGAAGAGATTTCAAGATTTATTTTCCTAGCCGTGTGATAGAATAAGGGATGCGTACAGAGCATCAAACTAAAGCCAATTGCTTAAAATTTCGCAGGAATTTCTAAACATAGTTCATGCAAGCTATGTTGAAAAGTTGTTAGTAGCATTTCCTTTCTTGTTTTTATGTTGGTAATAAGGTGAGTGTAACGAGAGTTCTAATATATCGACTAATAATGGATTATTTTCTTTCCCGGGAAAGGCTTAGCATCATAATTACAGAGAGGAATGATTAGATTTGTGTTGCTGATGCTTCCAGATAAGCCTTTTTTAATTACTTATTTTCGTCTGTTTGTTTTCTGTTTATTGTTTATACAATCTCTTAGTTCCTGGTCATCAGATATGGACCTGAATCCAATAAAAACCTTTCTTAAATGATTGCAACTTTTTTACATTTTACGGTGATGATCAGATTAATGCCCCTTAGCAAAGAACTAGTGAACAATTGCAGCTAATTTGGGAGCCGAAACAGTGGGTATTGTGAGGTATAGCTATGATTGCGCCTGAGAAATAAATCCAATTTTTAGTGATTTCTTCTTTCTAGGAAGAATTATGGGGAAAATAAATTGCTAAACATAAAGAGGAAACATTGAGTAGGGTAGAAATTTGATAACATGCTTGATATAGGATAAGAAAAAAATCAAGTTTTAACGAAACGCTTGATGACACAGTCTAATTGCAGCTTAATCAAACAGACACTTAAATAAGGGCCGCCAGTGTGGTAACTTTATAAACGGATTAAAGAAACCAGATATCGCCTTGCAACTCGAATCTCCTATCAATATCAGCAAAAACTGCTGAGAATACTAACGAATTATAATGCGATTCACAAAAATGACCCGAGTCGTCTAACTGAACTCCTCAATCAGTGGCTTACTTGACAGTGCATGTCAGTGCTCCCAATAGCATAATCCGTTTTAAAATATGCAAACTTCATTCATTGTGGGTAAATCGTTCTTTAAACTTGAAAATTTTTGTCTGGGACGCGCCGCCCTGTGCCGGTCTGTGCATGTTATCTACAATTCTAAGGTCCTCGCAGGGGTTTTAATCTTCTGGACAGTTTTCATTACCAGGGGCGGATTTAGGGCGTCTTCTGGAAGACGGTCAGATTTTCAAGTTTACATTGACGGGTATCTAACTTTTTCTGTCGGAAGACGGTCAAAAATGGAGGATTGTTCAACGAAGATCAATTGGAAGACTGTCAGAAAACAACTCTGGATCCGCCCCTGATTACTGGAGACACTGTAAATTATATAATCAGTATGGCGAGGATAATGAATTCTGTGAAATGGCATCATGTAGTGCATAACAATTTCCCGTATTAAAAGCCAAATGACGATTTTGACAAGATTGCTAAAGGACACCTAAGACGAAAATAATTATAATGCGTTGTATGGTCGAATATAAGCATGATAAGCATGATTTCAGATTCAATTTAGTTGCTTCTTGTATGAGCACCCGAAGTGAGCTGAGACATAAAGGTAAGCAGGACGGTTTTAAAAGATGAATGAGACTGTGTCGACTGTCGACTTTCCAAATATCAGTTCAAATAATTCGACGGTGGAGGGGGGTTTGGGTGATGATAAAGATTTCATGGCGATTGTACATTTTGTTGGTGGAGTTTTGGCTTTCTTCGTTGCTGTAGTTGGTTTTATTTTGAACACGACGTCTTTTGTCGTGTTTCGAAATTTTAAGGTACAAAGTTCATCAACTCTTTTGCTCAGTTGCTTGGCAGTTGCTGATAATTTGTATCTCCTTTCGCAAACATTTTTTATCAGCATCCCGTCCATATTCTCCTACGTTGAGCTAATACCCGGGACCCTTCCCTTTATTGCGAAACATACACGAGTGATTTGGACATTAAACAATTGGCTCTTACTTATTCCGATTTGGATAAGCGTTCTTGTTACCGTCGACCGCCACCGTCTGGTTTGTTCGTCTGTTTCACAGCTTCTGGAAACTTCGCCACTGAAGGTGTGGGTGGGGTGGGTAGTAGCCGTGGTCATTGGCTCTTTCATAAGCGTTATACCGAAATATTTCTTCGTCGTTTCAGCTGGATTTCGGTCGTGTTCATCGAACAAGACCTATCCATTTTGTTTCAAACCACCTGTTGTCCGTTTTCCAGAGCAAAAAATTACCTGGCTTGTTACTCACTTTCTTTTTTATTTTATTATTCCTTTTTTAATCATAACGAAGTGCAATATTGGAATAATGCGCAGACTGCGAGAGCTATCGAAACGCCGTGAAGCTTTATTCCAGCGAAAATTGTCATTTTACCGAGAATTGACAAAAATTGTTGTTTTGATCGCCATCTCTTCTCTGGTGTTCCATCTAGTGTATTGTTGTTCTTTTATCATTGGGTTCTATTCTGACCTGTTGCCACAGAAAGTTGCAAGGAACATGCCTCTATCTTTCCAAGTGCTTAACTTCTTAGCAGTGCTTAACTCTTCTGTTAATTTTTTCATTTATGGATTGTTCGGTAAAACATTTCAACTTACTTTAAAGTCAATGTGTTGCTCCGGGTGCATATTGCCAGGTAAATCAAACAGTCATGCCAAGCCAAATGGTGCGATGACGACACCTAATGATCGTCCTAATCTCGGGCAAAACAGATCCGAATTAACCCGCCGATACTAAAAATGCGACATCCTACTAACTTTTGAAATCTTATGTAGGATAATTAATTGAAATCAAAGACAGCAAGTCAATTGAATAATCCTACTCACTTTTGAAATCTCATGTGGGATAATTGAAGTCAAAAACAGCGAGTCATTTGAATCAAATTGAAAGCAAAAAAAAAAAAAAAATGCGCAATATGAAATTTGAAAATTTGTCTGGCGGAACAAAATTCACTGAGTGACATTGGGCATTTCATTGAAAATTGTGAAAACTGTGAAATGGTCATTTGAACGTTAAAGAAAACATGATGTCCGAAAAGTGCAAAGTCCGTTTTCATGGAGCCTTTGTATCTTACTTGCTTTAAGAAAAATGACATTGCACGACGCTACTAGCATTGAGAATACGACAATGATCGACCCTTTTACTTTTGAAATTCCATCTTTATTAATCTATAAGAAGGCCGGCCATTCATTTCAATTTAAGCAAGCATTGTGTATGATCACTGGACTCCTGATGAGATATATTGTTCTATTAATATTGTGTATAAGAACTTTTGTTGATTTGGATAAGTTTAAATAGAATATATTTTATTTAGTGAAAAATATATTTATGAATTGATATTCAGAACTAGTTCTAAGATGTGAAAGACGTTCCAATATTTTCTCTAACCCAAACGCCATTTTACGTCTGCAACTAGAAACTTTAGATAAAGAGCAATTTGTCGGCATTTTGACAGGGTTGTTGTTTCAATCAAATTTTCTTTATAAAAATATTTTTCATGAAGTATAAATATAAAATATACATATCATAGTAGCAATACATTTATGCTATGGCGTTTATAAAATTAATTTTCAAGTTGCACCACTGTAGTTGATTATACAGTATTGCGTCATCTTATACTGGGACTTCTTGAATCCGTATGGATGATGATGATGATGATGATGATATTATTTTGAATATAAATACATAGGTATGTAGTTAAATTAATTTTAAGCAGTTAAAGTGGATGTTTAATCTTAAGATATGATAGATAAAATTGTATTATTTTATTTGGTTAATATTAATTGAACAAACGTATGAGTGGAAATCACTCAATATCAATGAAATGTATAACCTCCGGCTAAGCTGACAGTAATCTGGTGAGACTCCCCACAGGGATAAATCGATCTAAAATCTGTGGGAATGGGGTCTAAGATGGCAATAGCCAAAGATGTTGTAGGGTAAATGAGAAAGAAAAACGAAGGAGTATGCCAGCTTTAAATATTATCATTTTTAGGCACAACAACTGGCGCTCTTTTAAGAACGATTCAAAATATATTTATAAAGCAGGAATGCCATTGAGCACTACATATAATTTACAAAATCTAGTGAATTTCAATTTTAGAGAAACTTTTTAGAGACAAAGATGATAGCGTGCAATGACATTCTGTGAAATTACATACGTACATTTATTTATACTGGGTTTATCAGTGGCTAAACTTTGATGCATTTTTACCCATCAGACATACGTTATACAGTTGGTACGTAAATGCTATTAAGTGGAGATATCCAGTAAATCATTGTAACGTTTTGTGATGTTGAAATCAGTAAAAATAGCACCGACAAAGTTTATTCGCACAAAAAATTAAACGTAATTGTATATAGGCCAAGACATGAGTATAAAGGCAGTTTTTACAGCTCTATGGGCCAAACTGTATTAAAATGTACAGAAAGGAACTTATTTAAGGGCGAGGAATGTGCGCCTAGTATCCTATCCCTTTGAAAATGAATCGTTCTACAGAAACTGAGACACCTATTATTTACAACAGAATGCTCAAGACTGCAGTAGTCTCTAGATTTCCGCACAGATACTGTACAAACACTTTCTATCAAGTTGTCCTTTTCAACCACATGTGGCTAACGTGGTTGATATTTTTACCTTTCGTGTTCAAACATTGAGACACGTTCAGTTATCTGCCAATCGAATTTTACGATTGCCAATGGTAACGGACGCAGCCAGACATAACCATGTAGCAGAAACTATACCTACCTGTCTTAGTTGCCTTTTGGTGAACAAGAAATCAAAGAACCTGTATAACCAACCGGCTGGTTATTACAATACTGTGCAGTGACAATCATGACTGGCCTGACGTTCGCAAGATGACAGACCATAGCTGCCTTTTAGGCAGCAACGGTTCAAGAAACAAATTATCTTCCTAGGAACTGATGGCGTGACACAAGTTTGGTGCCCTGCGGTACGCAAACATAACCACTTCCTGTTCCTCTAACACTCATATAACACTCAGCTACAGTGACAAGCCTACATCGGAAAGAAAACGTCCACAATTTTCTCTTTCCGAGTGCGGTTGGTGTATAATACCAGTAACTCTGCTTTCAACTCATGACTTAGAACAGCGTCAGGTAGACAGAAAAGTACCTTTCACGTAAAGATGTTCGTTATACGTACGGTGTTCCCAAGTCTACCAAAAGCAACATTTTAAAGAGAAACTTGGAAAGAGAGGACAAATTGAAAGCGGTGCCACGTCACACATAGCCGAACGCACGGCCCACTTCACTCTTGAGATAGAGACTTTTTAAAGATTTTGGCGATCATGACGACTGATAAAATGAGCGCAATAAACTGACTCAAATTAAATAAG